TCAACTATTAATCCAACTATTAATGTTTTTTTTTTACTACGCTTAGTGTTAGGATTAAGGAGGAGTGTTGACAAATCAATCCTACACTGCTAGCTATACCTATACCATACCTATTTGAGCATTAAAATCCCTCACTATTAATTTTATACAGTTCTTTGGTAAGAGTCAAAAGTTCTTTCTAAATCTTCATAGAATATGTTCTTCTTTACTTCCTCTTTCTCCTCAGCTGGTGGATAACAGTTAATTACAATTATATCAGACTTGCGTCCTACTATAAAAATAAATCAGATTTGTTTATTAATTTCTACAAAAGACTAAATGCAAGGCATAATCTTCTTATTTACAACAAAAATTACCCCTTTCTCATGAGTATTTTTATTGGTATCACTATAAAATATGGTATTGTTAGATCTTATATTGCCTTCACCAGTCCAGCGTATTTCTTGACAGGCTAACAATGGTATTTTGTACTTTTCTATTTCTTCAGTTACAATTTTGAGGGCACCGGGTTTGTAGATTATAGTTCTGATGTTCCATATTTCTATCATTATCTCCGCGTTATTTACGTTAACTTTTTCAGTAGTTTTTCCATTTAAATCATCGTAGTTCTGAGGTTTGGTTAGAAGATTCACAACAAAGAATTTTTAAGAGGCTGGGTTGTTAGCCCGACGCTCAGTCTTCTAAGCTGGAGGGGGCAGTCTGAACCAACTAATTAAAGTCAGTACATGGCTGGTGGTCCTGGGTTCACCATGTGCTTATTATAGTATCCCTTGGGGGATTATAGATAATGTTCAACAACACTGGACTTGACACGGTAGCATCTGCAACCAGTACAAAGTACAGGTACCGCATTGATCGGTCTACACATTTGTCAAATACCACCACGCTGGCTACGACAGCGCGACACAACCTACTCCCCCACCACGTCGCAAAGGCACAATGTGGGACGGGAAGGCAAGTCGTGCAAGACGAGTACCGGCCGCCGGCGGCTCTCTCGTACGTCGACCGTCTCACCGACAACCCGACTCTCGACCACCGTCCTTGTTACCGATTACGCTGACACCAACCGTCATCGTCTCAACTTTTGTAAAAACAGATGATAAAAGTGTAAAATAACTCTCTCGTCTTTACACACGAATAAATAGCCACAAAAGGCACTCCGTAATCAAACTGTGTTGCTTTCTCTTTGATTTGGTTTCCTCTCTCTTTTGTGAGCATCAACACCATCACCAACACTCTATGACCGGCTCACAGCGGACACCACTCCATCACCGCCGTAGCCGCGTCAGACTATAATATTACTCTAAAGAAATTTGAGGGAAACAGGAATCATATAACAATATTTGGGCCAAAGAGGGAAAGTAATTTTTGGGTAAACTACACCCCTCCATGCTAAGCCTCAAACTCACTAAACAAATGCATTCATCATAATAATTTTAATAATAAAAAACAAATCGTAATGCGAATAATACTCATTGAATGTATTTAGTTCAGTGCACACAACACACACCGGTTGTTCCTCTTTGATGATATGATTGAGGGCGGTCGTTATCGGAGGTACCTTTTTAGTCAACAAATTATTTTTACTATAATGCAATATTTCAAATGAAAATGAAAATGTTCGTTCTCATAAAGTATGAATCCAATTAGTATTTTGTAATGATAATATTATTATAACGTTATACAATTATTAATTAATTAATATCAAAATTATATTTTGGATATTGCTGGTTGAACTTATTTTTGCCCAAAAATAAATAGCATTAATTTATTATATAAATTGTTTTAATATTTTTATAAATTTATTTTATATAGTTCTACTAGATGTCAATATAAATCATAACCCGCTTATCATAGAAAGGTTTTGAATAGGTTTAAGTTGGTAAAAACTAACATAAATATTTTGAAAATTTCATTGTGCTTATAAAATTATAGTTTAGGAAAAAAATAGAGACAATGTCTATATTTTTTAAATGAGGTATGTACTCCTGAAGAGCTTTTTAATACAAAGATAGAGGTACTACTGTGCCTCTTCATTTATTCATCAAAACATTAAAAACTTTTAACTATACTCGTTCAAAATTAATATTTTTTTTTGTATAAAATGCACAAAAACAAATAGGTATTCTGTTTCAAAAAATACAATAAGCGATGCTAATAATAAGTTATTGATTCAGTAATAAATCACATATGCAACGGCCAACGATAATTCGTAAGCTCCATATTTTACATTATTACTTTATTTTTTTATCACCTGAGTAAGTTATTAGTATGCAAAAGTAAACACTGCGAAAATGCAATGTGTGCACTTTAAACAGATTTTTTAAATTATTCTACTTGGGTCGATCGACTTCAAAATACTACTAATTATTTTATAAAGAGTTTCAAATCAAATCCCTTCGTGCTTACCCTTCTTACCCTTTCCCCGCCTTCAAAAGGGTGGTTTTATAATGTTTTTACTTATAAATCACTAGCCTTGGAACTGACGACCAAAATATATAGAACTAAAATTAAATACTATTACATTTACCATAATACTATAATATTATGCATACTAAAATGTTTACATTAGAATTGTTGATGATGTTCATATTGTTTTGTATAAAAAATGAAAAAAATGTATATTCTTGGTTAGGTTATAGGGACATGATAATGTATTAAATGTTGATATTATATTATATACACCCGGTAAAAACGTACTTATCAAAAGTTTCTAAGTGATTGTATACCTAGTACTCTTAGATAATATATAAATATATATAATTCTAAAATATAAACCGACAATGATTTTATTGTTGTGTGGAAAACCAATCATTTAATATATATAATTGCCCAATTATCATCAGACGAAAATATTTATATCCGATTAGTATAATAGCTGTCATCCGACTGCTTCTACGATGTTGGGTTATCGGGTCACCGATATCGTAATTATAGTGTGCTATTAGTCCATTGTAAACAATGTATATTATGAGGTACATCCAACTCCTAAAGAAAGAAAATTTTGTAAAAGTATATCATCAGAAGAAAAAAGAAGAGGGGACGTCCGCAAGATGAAGATGCATTAAAGGCGTTTAGAGATGTATGCTAGTATATCGAGGTTAAAAATGAGTGTAAATTTACATTAACATTTTTATATGACAAAATGAATGGTACGTTTGATGAGAGAACTTTCAGAAATAAATTGATTGAGAAGTATTATGGAGAGGTCTTAATTATTACAACAACTCAAGGAAAAAAAGAAATTGTTAGTTTTAAGGATGCTTCATTTAAAATGTTGACCAAAGAGTGGTATACTTCAAAAAATAAAAAAATAAAAATAAGGACGAAGAACGGTTAAGAATAGTAGAAATGGCAGATTCTATCATAAGAGAAGATATAAGTCGACATAGCTCGTCAACAGTTTACGAGCTGAATTCTTATCCTTCACCAAACAAATATATGGATAATGCTGCAAACGATGTACAAAAAAGTTTAACTTTATTTTATCTCGTGTTTGTGGTACAAAAAAGAAATCTGATCAAAAAAAATGTGAAAATAAATACTTACCTTTAGCACACAGGATCATAAGTTTTTGCCTACCTTGCTCATTTATTTCGCCTATTTTGTTGGGTCTAGGTCTATATTTACATAGAAATGTAGGTACAAAACGTGCAATTTATATTTTTTCTAATTTTTTGTTTTGTCTTTCTTATACTGAAGTTTATGTATTTGAGTCGTCTTCGTTGCTATATCCACAGCCTGACATTGATCCAAATAGTTTTTCACAATTTGTATTCGATAATGCCAATTTCAATATTTCAACACTTGATGATTACAATACATTTCACCAAAATGGGTGGGATTCAATGTGTTTTACCGAAAAATGCAGAACTTTGGAATAGACGTATTGAAAAAGTGAAAAAGGCAGTCACAGCAGAGACAATTAGCAACATTGAGTAGGTTCCAATCATAACATATTATGAAAAATCGACCAACGTTGACGACAAAATCGAAATTCAGGATTTAAGTAAGATCAATCCCAAGGTTCATTAAACGTCATTATTGTCAACCGACGAACTGCACTGGATGTGTGCACAGTGGTTTGGTGTTCATAAATGTCCGGGTTGGAATTTATTTTTGAAAAAAATCACCGATTCCTAAGACTACAAAAATACTCAAATAATTTTTTTGTCATTTCTTAATTTGCCACCTTCTTCTCCTGACTGTATTAATTCGGTTATAAACTTCACTGTGGAAAAATGTAAAAAAGTACACCAAAAATGTTGTTTTGTAACTTTTTATCAACCACTTCGTATACAAAAGATCGAAAAATCGTTGAAACAAACCAACATAATGGAACTAAAAATAGTAGTGAGTCTTGGTGGTGTCCATCTTCTGATGTCATTCATGGGCGTGATTGGTTATATTATGGAGGGAAGTGGGCTGAAAGAGTTATGGAGTACAATTTATTTTTTCAATTGAAAAAATAATGACTGGTCATGCGTACTCGAGAGCATTACGTGCACATTTTCTCACTCAACTATGCTTAGCAAAAATTATTTTGGATGAACTGGATTTGAATGAAGCAAAAAAAAAAACTTTAAAAAACTATATTTTGAGTAAAAATTTCACAAACTTAACTTTGGAAGAAATTAAAAATGTAGAAATACTGCAGGATTTTATGAGTATAGTTGAGTGTCATATTAAAAATATTGGATCAATAGGAAAAACAACTACACTTTTGGTTAAGTATTTTTTTCTAGTTCATCTTCTACGTAGTTTTATTTGTGCAGAAAGTTCAGCTAATTGATATGCTCATTTAAAATGTGTTGAAAAAATGATACCTTTTTGCTATTTGTCAGGACATTTTAAATACGCAAAGGCAGCCCATTTATATCTTCAATATCTGAGTTTATTAAAAAAAAAATATGATTCCTGGAGAGTTTAAAAAATTTTGCGATGAAGGTTATTTTACAATTAAACGGTCAAGTAAGTTTTGGTGTGGCACATGATCCGCTATGACCATAGTACAAACTTTGATGCGTTCCATGAAAACTTCAGGTGGCTTGACTAGTAGCCGAAGTTTTAAAAGTAGTGTTCTCATTCGCTGGCTTCTAGGCGTCAAAATTGCAAGTGCAATTAATGACCAAGTGGAAAAACTTGCCAATATTTTTAGTTTAACCTCTGAGCAACACGTCGATCAACGTGATTCCAGAATTAAAACTGATACTGAGCATGCCGAAAAACTTTCAGTTAATTGATAAGGTATGAATTTACTTTAAATTTATATAATATATAATAATTGTAAACTATAATACAAAATATAGTTAAAATTTTTTTTTTTTTGGTTACAGGCAAAACAACATTCACCCGGAACCAAATAAAATAAAAAAGGTTGGTTCTTAGTGTAACTATGTAAATAATATGGTATTATACATTTTTTTTTAATGTTTTCTGTAAAAGTTCTAGAATTAAGTAGTACCTACCAGTATAATCTAATAAATATTAATATTTGTAAACAAACATATTGAAACTGTAAAGATATTTCATAAAAGTTGTATTTATAAGTGAGCTTATCTTGTAAACATTTTAGTATGCAAAATAAAATTGAAAATATTATAATATTATGGTAAATGTAATAGTATTTAATTTATGTTCTATATATTTTGGTCGTCAGTTCCAAGGCTAGTGATTTATAAGTATAAACATTGTAAAACCACCCTTTTGAAGCGTTGAAGGGGTAAGAAGGGTAAGCATCAATGGCTTTGATTTTAAACTCATTTGAAATATTTAGTAGTATTTTGAAGTCCATAGAAGCAAAGTAGAAAAATTTAAAAAATCTGTTCAAAATGCACATATTGCATATTCGCCGTATTTACTTTTGCATATTAATAACTTACTCAGGTGATAAAAATAAAAAGTAATAATGTTACATATGGAGCTTACGAATTATCGTTGCATATGTGATTTGTTACTGAATCAATAACTTATTATGAGCATCGCTTATTGTATTTTTTGAAACAGAATATTTGTTTTTGTGTATTTTATACAAAAAAAAAATATTAATTTTGAACGAGTATACCTAAAAGTTTTTAATGTTTTGATGAATAAATGAAGTGGCACAGTGCTACCTCCATCTTTGTATTAAAAAGCCCTTCAGGAGGACATACCTCAGTTAAAAAATATAGACATTGTCTCTATTTTTTTCCTAAACTATAATTTTATAAGCACAATGAAATTTTCAAAATGTTTTTGTGAGTTTTTACCAACTTATACCAAGTACCTATTCAAAACCGTTCTATGATAAGCAGTGTTGGGAATTATCTAGATAAGATTTTTTGAAATAAATTATCTTTTAAAGTATCTAGATAATTATGTTATGATTTATCTAATGTTTAGCTTAGATAAAAAATGGGCTTATCTAGATAAATGTATCTAGATAAATATTATAGTGCCCCTACAAAATTATAAAACCAATTTTACTAAAATTCTAATATAATATAAATTATTTATAAAATTAAAAGAATATATTTCTTGTTATTATTGCCATCGACGGTATTACTTTTATTCTGTGGTATTACGATAATACGAGAACCTGCATGGGGGCTTGCACTGTACATCGTTCTCTACTAGCCATAATGAGCATATTAAAATTAATTAGGTACAGGTTTATTTCCCCATCCATTTTAAAAATAAATTAAAATGAACTTCGTAGAACTGTATTTCAAAGGTTCAATCCGTTATCATAAATATTATGTCATTATATTGATATAGATATAATATTATAAAAATACTAAAAAACAATAAAAATTGGTGTAAAAAAATGATAATTATCTAGAAATTTATCTTGATAAATGTATTGTTGTATTTATCTTTATCTAGATAAATTACATTTATGTTATCTTTATTTTTATCTAGATAATATTTTGTTAAATTGATCTTATCTTATCCAGATATTTTTTTAGTTATCTATTCCCAACACTGATGATAAGCGGGTATTGATTTATATTTACATCTAGTAGAATTATATAAAATAAAATTATAAAAATATTAAAACAATTTATATTATAATAAAATGTACGCTATTTATTTTTTGCAAAAATAAGTTCAACCACCAATATCCAAAATATAATTTTAATATTAATTCGTGATTCTAATATTTTGTAATATATAAATAATATACTCTTACATACCTACTTAAAATACGTATAAGTATATGGGGTGGTATATTCAAAACTAATCTTACTTAATTAAACACCGCTGTAAATTCCTTAATTAAATATATCTTAAAAAAAACCATATCTAACCCCAACTAACGTGATGTACACAATATTTAATGTTAATAATATTGAAAAACTGCCTAGAAACCATTTGCTTTTATTATTATACAGTATGCAAATATACATGGGCGCCGTGAGGGGGGTGCAAGGGGGTGCATTTGCACCCCCTTGGCTTGACAAAAAAAAAAAAAAAATTAAAAAATTAAATTAAAAAAATTGAATGGTATTAAAACTATTTTATTTTGCATAATTATCTACATTATTTCTATTATTTATTATTATACATTTATACTTATTTTACAATATTGTCTATATAATATATTATTTATATTATGTAATATAATAATTATTTTTTAAATAATAATTGCAAACGCCTAGGTTTTTTCCAAATTCTTCAATTGAATTTTCAATGAATTTGGTATCCTCTCCTAGTCTTTTTCTATGTACACTCATCATACACAATCCGGACAATCGGTTATCACCCATAGTGGCTCTGTTCCATGTCTTGACTCGTCTTAAAGTACTGAATGAACGTTCAATGCTGCAAGTTGTTGTTGGAAGAGTTGCTCCGATCTTGATTGCGTCGGCTACAGCTGGATAAAAATCTTTTGACATTTCGATCAAATCTAAGTATTCAATAGAATCTAATGGTTTTTCACCATTATTCCACATATTTTCATACCATGTTGTGGCTTCAGTTACAAAATTTGATGACAAAATATTTCCATAGAGTTTTACAATATCATTTGATGTGCAAATAAACTGTTCTTTACTCATGTTTTTATATTTGAAATATAAGCATCTTATTAGAAAACCAGCACATCATTTTGGTACCAGATTAAAAGAAAAGATTAATGTAAATACTCCTATATGTAAGAAACTTTTTGGTATGATGTCACCTTTAAATAATAGTATAAATTTACTCCATAGTAAAAATATTAATATCGACTCGTTCCAAACTTTTATGAAATTTAAAATATACATTAAAAATTTAGATTAACTAGTTTAAAATGTTAGTTCATAATTTTTACTTAACCTGTTATTCATTGTATATCTATTTTATTATTACATTCTATTATTATAAAGACTCACATGACCTAAAACAAGTTTATACTTATAGGTTGGTTCAGAAAAAATATTATATTTAAAATTTAAATTGTATCTTGTGTTTCTGAAATAAAGTTATTATTATTATTGTTAATTATAAACGGCTGAAAGTGGCCTATTTTTTTTTTTTTTTTACTTGCTATTTTTATTGTTTTTAATTTTGAAGATTTTTCTGAGTATAATAAACAACTCAATGTGGCCTTATGGGGGGGGGGAAACAATACACAAGACACAATAAGCAGGGGGAGCGGTACGTAATGGCTAGGTGCTTGCAAAAAGCGATAAAGCTACTGCAGGTCACCTCTATACATTCTCGCGGCACATCCCACAGTTGGACGAGTGCAGTCACTAGTCGCGTTTGCTGACGAAGTCCCGACCACGAAGGCCACCGGAGCGATGAGACGAGTTGAAGGCGCGCGGCGAGTGGCTATGGAGCGATGGTTTGAGCATCGACGATGCACAGGTACTGAAGACAACTGATGATTGACGACGGCGGCGGCGACCTAAAAAACTGAGCGAGCAGAGGCAGCTGTTGGTGCTACGGAATCGGCTGGTGACCGGAGACGTGACTCGACCGATTGCCACTGGGTGAAAATGGGAGAGGATTGTCGGACCTCGCAGCAAAGCACGCCACAAAGGTCCTGATCCCCTCCGCGTGATTTTCGCCCTGATGACTCGACCGTGTCAAAATCCGATTGCCTTCCTGGAGTCACTCATCATGGTACCCTGAAACGTTATCTGTTTCTACGAGTCCAGGGATGCTGACCTTGGGGACGAGCGTGGAAGGCAGGCTCGCTGTGGCTTAGTGGCTACCAAAACTGTCCACGCAGCGGAATGTCATATGCTGTCACCGTGCTCGTTCCCATGGGTACTTGGATACATATATATAATAACTAGCTGATCTCGTGCACTTCGTCGCCCGTTAAATGTATCAACTCAATATGACTCAAACTTTGTTCAATTCATTATTCAATATGAATAAGCGGTAGATTGCGGACCCCGTGCTGTTTGTACGGAAGTGTATGATTTAACTCTAAAGTATCAAAGTTATACCAAGTTTATTTTGATATAATACGGTGGATTAATATAACAAAATTTGGTTGCTCGTAAAAAATCGCAACTCTTAAAAAAATTATGATTGTTGAACTCCTTTTGGGTGTAACTTTCTGCGGTAAGTGCAACTCAGCCACCCTGGTAGGCAATGTTCAATAATTCGATTTGATGCAAGCTTGTACCTGATCTGCCCAAATAACCAATGGCAACCAATAAATAAATGCTAATTTCTAATGTAGATTGTAACCAATGGCAACTATAAATAAATAAAAATAAAATTTCCAATTTCTATCGTGAATCTCAATGTCCCTGTTTCAGCACCTATTTAAAATGCGAATTTTGGCAAATCCTTTCTTAGCGCACGTCTACATCATAATAGCTATCTGTATGCCAAATTTCAGCCAGATCCGTCCAATGGTTTGAGCTATGCGTTGATTCACTCATTTTAATACCAATATTGTATATTTAAATTAAATATTGCTTGATAGATGGCGCCACTATCATATTCTTTCAACCCCACTTTTACCCCCTTGTAGGTCGAATTTTCAAAAATCCTTTCTTAGTGCGCCCTTACATTGCTTAAGGAACCTCTGTACAAAATTTCAAGTCTCTAGACCCAGCAGTTCCGGCTAGGCGATGATGAATCACCCAGGACAAGTCTTTTTATATATACAGATAGATAATATAGATGGAAACATATATACATATACTCTATTCAAAATAAGACCGTGACCGGGCGGCCGAGTTGTGCACATGGGCGTGGCTTTGTTTAGTGGCAGAGCCCGACGCACCGCCGTGGTGGGGACGGCGTTTCACCATATGTCTGACCGCCGCCGGACGAAAACTGGTCGCCACCTGGTCACGGTCTTATTTTGAATAGAGTATAGATATATATATAATAAGAAATGCTTATATTACAATTTACTACTCTAATGAAATGGATTTATATCACTGTTATCCAAAAGATTATAATTAGCTGAGTATGTATGGCGGGTGAGGCAGTATTTTATCAATACAGTTTTAATGGATTATCCATCTGGAAAGAGACTACGAGGAAGACCGCGCCATCGATGGATGGACCGTGTAAAGAATGATCTAAAAATAACTGATCAATTAGTAGTAATAGAGGGCGCCGATGGCAGAGATCGTTTGAGAGTCTTAGTAGAAGCTGCGAAACGCCTTCAAGGCGTATAAAGCAATAAAAAAAACCATATGTAATTAATATATTATAGGTACTAACACCATTTAGAAAATGCCAAGAATACATAATATACTTTATAGTTGATTGTAGTTGGGGGTTTCTAATAATACGTTTTAAAATATTGTGGACTAAATTTTAAATTGTTAAATGTATCCAATTTTACATACCTACTAAAAATATTAATACATTAACTTGAACTGAATACAATCTTTAAGAAAAAAAGTTATAAGTTATTTAGAACAGAGTGTCGTGGTGTTTTCTGGGTAATAACTAATAATAAATGATACCCAGATAATCGTTATTACTATATCTATATTATAATTTTTGTACTATTGTATATTATACGGTATACATATAAATATAATATATATAATGATAATAATATAATATAATGATTAATTACTGTCCAAAAAAACGTGGAAATGAATGATTGAATTAAAACAAGCATATCCAACTTAATTTTAAATTAATTGATACCTATAAGCAATTCTTGGTGGTTTGAAAATTATATAATAATTTTTAGTGAAACTGGTCACGACCGCGGTAAGTATGTTACGTTCGTAATCTCGAGTACGACCTCAAACAGATCACGACGTATAATCCCCGGTGCATCCGAATCCCAAGTACTAGATATACTACTATTGTACTATAATAGCATTTTAAAATAATTAGGACTGTCTATTATCAATTTATACCAACGGTTTAGTTAAAAATATTTTCTTACAATTTCTTTTTATATTTTGTTATTTTGCTATTAAAAATATAAATAATTATTAGAATTTTATAAAATATGATATACATTATACAATTAAAGGTACAATACGCAGTGATAATACAATCGATTTTAAATTAATATTATTTTAGCATCAACTTTTCTAGTCGACCTCAAGCTATTATATGGCATGCATTAGATTTAATGTTAACTACCAACTCATTATTTACTGTGTGTTAAATCAAATAATAAATATGTGGCATTCACCGACAAAATAATGAATACCTATATCTTCTTGTTAGATATTATGTTAGTTGTTACTAAGTAAACAAATCATTCTAAACATTATTTATTTTGTGCTGAGGGAGTGTGTTATGGAAATAGGTCACTTATAAAAGAAATCAAGGAGTAACATTTTATTGCATTTATTGTTCAACGTTCATATCATTTTTAATAATTCTTTTATGAAATCAAAATGTTTTTTTTTAAACAGTATTTAATACATTTTATATGTATAGTAATTGCTATTCGGGCTACGCCTGGAACAGCTTTCTCAGAAGACGAAAACAAAGAGATGAGAGGTAAGGCTTAATATACAGTATAATCCTGTTACAACGAACTCCAAGGGACTGAATTTTTTTTTTCGTTATGACGGTAATTTTGTTGTAACGGCTTTCGAAAAGCTTAAGAGGTTTTCGGTAGAGGAGTTCTACCACTTTCGTTATAAAGGATTTTTTTGTTGTATCGGTATTTGTTGTAACGGGAACTTACTGTATTGATTTACAATGATTATGTTTGTGTTACAGATTTTATAATTTTATATATGATATAGCACCTAGAGATGTTTTAAAAAGTGTATTATATTATAATAATGATTTTGGAGGAAAAATTTTTTTTTTAGATGGTTGTACAGGTAATATTTTCTACTATTTGTAAACAAAAACAAACTCAAAAAAGTTATGATATAAAGAATTGTAGGTATACTTTTAACTAAAAATATTTCACGGGTTTGAAACATCCACACTTAATAATCAAGTGGAATAAATTATTAATTGGTAGGTACTAGAAAGAAAAATATTACTGAAAATGTTTGGTTCAATAAAAAATGCATAATATAGGCAGATGACGAAGAAAAAATAGAAGGTTAGAAACAATATACAACTAAAATATCATTGCAGAGACTATCATAAATAGGTAGTAAGAGGGACGTGGAACTATTAGGAGGTGGATCAAATTGGAAGTCTTTGGCATTAGATTTAAATGCTAAGAGAAATGATTTGAGACAAGATGGTCTTAGTAGCCGGATAAACCAGAAGAGTAAGATGATTAAGAGTATCTATTTAAAGAAATTAAAAGGTTAATGTACTATATTGTGTATTCTCAAATTTATTATTGTAAAGATGACCAATTTACATTTTTAAGAAAACAATAAATTACGAATCTATTTTTAATTGGCGTTGATTTTCATCTGTATGTCGACTTGTCATATTTATAAATTATTATAGCTACCTATTAGGAAAGTATCTTAAAAAGTGTGTATGTAATTTTAGTAAATTCAATGGCCATGATAGGATCATTTGAGATTAGTAAAACATTGAATATTAATCTGTTTTATTGTATCTACTCAAGCTTAGTTTAAATAAATTTGTTTGAATATATTTAAATTTTATTAGGTATTCTTAAAAGTGCTGGATTTAACAGTAA